ATTCTGTCTCTAGGCAACGAGACAGATCAACACGGAATAGATATACGAGAAGATTAAAAAAAAACCTCAGCAGTCTTGTTTCACATACTTTCATCCTGGCAATGAACAACGCCCAAGAAAAATCCATTAACGACTTTCCTGTCGACAAACAAACAGCTAACTATGTATGATTTGAGGTTTTCACAGCAGTTAGCTGTTTGAAGATTTCTGTCTTCTGGGTTGTTGCGCTGTGTAGTCCGTCTTCTAACTCTATATAAGCCACCGAATATCTAGCAACCTATCTTCAACCACGGAGATGAATACAGCATGTTCCTCCAAAACGTTGGTTATCTATACATAAGTCAAATTTCGGCATCATTGCCGCAGTGAGAACTTAAAACCTCATACAACGATACAATCGGCACTCAAGACTTAGTATTTTTATTTTGGGGTAATTTGTGGAAAGTGATTTGGAAAGTTTGTTGTGCAGATTTTTCTTGAGACAATTAAATTATGGCCAAAATTAATGTATCATACATCTGTGTGTACTTTTCAACCTCATTGATGAGGCATTTCTTTTTGATCACTCCGAAAAATTCGATTTCATTCAGATATCGGAAAGACGTCAGAAACATTTCCGCACTCTCATCGCCAAAGGTCCAATTACATACAAACTGACAACAAGAGTTTCAGAGTTTCAGCGTCAGCCGTCAGTTAATGGAGGTAGACCGCTGGTCAAACCAACGGTTAAATACCTCTTACAATAAAATTATTTATATGCGGTCCGCGCTAACCAATCAACATGGAAAGACTTTTATCAAGTGGGTCTGCTGGAAGTATTGTGTAGCAGCGTGGAAACAAACGGACTTTCAGAGCCAAATATTAACTTCAACTGGTTAACAAAGTGCTCACCTCTACCCTGAAGATGTAGACAATACGTTTCTCCAAAACGTCGACGTCTACCGACGAGTCTGCACGGAGCTAAAACCCAGAAGGACATTATCATCCTTACCACCGTAAAATCCTTAGATATTCTTCTTTCAGACCAAATCTATGAAAAACAGTACATATTTGAAACTAACAGTCGACGAGCTGATCCAGAAATTTGACTGTCTGCCACTAGAAGGATGGATGATCAGCGTGTTCAGAAGAACTCACCACTGCATCACATACTGACTGGGATAAATAAAGTCCGCACCCTTTCACTCCAGTCCTTAATCATGTTTAAATTCCTGAGGAGCGTTGAAATACCTTTGTCCTTCCCTCCCACCGGACGCTCATTTATCTGTAAGAATAAATCTCGAGAACGGCGAGACGGATTTTCATACAATTTGAACCTGGGGAATTCTGCGAAAAATTGTGGAGTCACCTCAAGTTTGTTTGAAATCGGCCAACAACAGCGGACACTTTACATAAAGTCTGTAACGGTAAAGACATCACAGAGGAAAACTGCGCCATGCCCCAACCAGACAGGCATTACACTTCTCACCCACGTAAATGTAAATTGATTTCAGCTGTTACAGCAAAAATTAACAAATTTAAACAATTTATACTACTATTAGCATACTATCAGCAGCGTTCCAGTATTTCATATATGCTAAGGCATTTTCATGCTAAGACCGAATACCAGACGCTAGGCTTACGTAATGGCCCTGATATTTGGCTGAGGTGTGCAAACAATATATGTCAACAGAAATTTGATGAATTACGAAACTGTGTAAAAGAAACACAGAAATAAAACTTAGGTTTTATCACCAAGGAAACGAAACCAAAACAAACTTACAACGTTGATGGTATAATGGTCATGAATATTAAAGATATCAGATATCTGTCTTATATGAACGAGTTTGAAAAACATAGCCCTTCACAAATAGATACTTTTCGTTTAATCACATCCAGAAACCACAGAAAACGTGAAATTCGCCCTGTCATTGCAAGCTCCAACAGCAACTAAAATGGTACAACTGAGGACAGGAATTTAGAATTTATAATCGCGACCACGTGGTGTTTTACAACGCAATAAATTCTACTCCGAATTTGCAGTTAACCGGCCAAATTAATTTACATTCTATTACAGGTAGACATAAACACACACAAAACAACATTAATTTCTTCTGCAACCTATGTCCAGTAACTTGATTTTAGGTACAGAGAAGTCAAACAAGAGTCAGCTTTTTAAATAAGTTACAAATAAAGCGGTATTGATAATCCCTCTGCATTATTAAAAAATATTCTCTGATACTTTAAAATAAACAACATCCCCTTAAAAACGGCTAGACTAAACTGAGGGAAATTTAACTAGTCTTGAACTTCAGGATGTAGTTGTTGACGTGTATTAAAACAAGATATAAAACAAAAATATAGCGTTTTAAATTAAAAATTAAACTAAATTTCAAGTTCAAGAACTGAACCAGGCCTCTTAAGTTTAAAATATAACTCAGTACGTTTTTCAGTCTGCCATTATGCATTGAATTAACCGACTGAGGGTAGCGAACGTTATGGTTACATTTGTATGAAACTAGAAAATATCCCGTAAAATTAAAATACATCACAATGATTGTTAAAATGAAATAAATAGATAATAGCCTACTTATAAAAAGCAGCTCGGTTATCGAAGAAAGTAAATTACTTATCGATATACACTTATAAACATCAGAAAGAATATGACAAATTCATTAATATTTAACCCTCCCTCATGCAGCATACCCCGTTGACCTATATGCCGTTCTTACCTTACGCCACAAGCCTAGTAGAAGGAGTCTACATGCGGTGAGCGGTGTACATATTGCACTAATTTTACTTCACAGAGCAATGTTTTAAGCACGAAGAGTAAAATATACAAAACTATACACAATTCCACACTTCGTAAAATATTTCTAACAATTCCACAAAGAATAGCACTATTTATTACACGATTATTTCAGTAATCGACAAAGCTAATACTTCATGCTAGCACCACAATGCACCTCGATGTTCAGTTTTTCTGCTTTCAATCGGATGAACTCGGG